GATGATGATGATGATGATGATGATGATGATGATGATGATGATGATGATGATGATGATGATGATGATGATGATGATGATGATGATGATTATGATGAGGATGATGATGATGATGATGATGATGATGATGATGATGATGATGATGATGATGATGATGATGATGATGATGATGATGATGATGATGAAGATTATGATGATGATGATGATGATGATGATGATGATGATGATGATGATGATGATGATGATGATGATGATGATGATGATCTTGGGCCGTTTGCATTAAAGTAAAGTTTGCGAAAGGGAGGTTTTTACACCGCCAATCCTCGGGGGTCTGAGTCCTTGCGCGTGGCCAGAGGCTGTCGTTTTCGCATTCCTTGTTTTGCCGATCGGCGCGGTCCCTGCACCCCTCCCCATGAAACATATCGTGGCTGCTCTTGCCGCCCTCTTCGCGCAGGTGGAGGGTGGAGCCTCCCCCCCACAGGACGCAGTATTGCAACCTGTCGCGCCAGGCAGACCCCCCCTTGCCTCTCCTGTAGAGGGCCGCGCCCGACTTAAGCCCAATGTCGAATCGCCGAAGCAGACAACGCTCACGAGCCCAGCGGCGGCCACCCCCCGATGGAGGGTGGGAGGGAGAGAGGGGGGAGGGGAGGGAGGAGAGGAGGAGGGAGGAGAGGAGGAGGGGAGGAGGAGGAGGAACTAGGGAGGAGGAGGAGGAGGAGGAGGAGGAGGAGGAGGAGGAGGAGGAGGAGGAGGAGGAGGAGGAGGAGGAAGAGGAGGAGAAGGAGGAGGGGGCCCGCCGGGCGGCCGGCCAGTTTTGGGGTCGTTTTGGAGCGCGCTTGGAGCGATCTTGGGCGATCTTTGAGCCGTGCCTTCTTGGGGCCATCTTGAGGGTTCAGAGGCCCATCGGAAGCGAAAAGGGGAGAATGCCAAACATTTCGATGTCCCCAGGGTTGGCCAAGGATTTTGACCTCGTCGAGAGCGCCGAAGAGAGCTCGGAGGGCACTTGGATCCATATGGGAGCTGACTCGGAGCCTCTTGGATATATGTCGGCGGCTATCTTTACCCATACTGACGTATCTTGGGCCATCTTGGAGGCCGTGTTGCGACTTTGACGCCCTCTTGGAGTCACAGCGCCCAGTATTCAACGGGCTCCCGCTGCAAAAGAAATCCATTAAGGAGTCGATTAAAATCCCCGCCCGGCCGCCCGTCGCCCGCCTGCCCGACCGAGTGGTTTCTCTATAGCACGCGCCACCCTGTACTGAACTGTCTCCGTATCCACGACAACACCCTGTAGTCAGCGATCTTTGTTGCACGCGCCACCCTGTAATCAATTGTCCCCGTCTACACGACAACACCCTGTAGTCGACACAGTCCGTCTCCAAGACAACGCCCAGTATTCAACAGGCTCCCGCTGCAAGAGAAAATCCGTAAGGAGTCTATTAAAATCCCCGCCCGCCCGCCCGCCCGCCGCCCGCCGCCCGCCCGCCCGCCCGCCCGCCTTCGTTGTGCCACGCACCACCTTGTATTCAACAGCCTCCATCTCCAAGGCAACACCCTGTAGTCAACAGCCTCCATCTCCAAGACAACGCCAAGTTTTCAACGGTCTCCCGCTGCAGGAGACAATCATTAAGGAGTCTATTACGGTCGGCGCAAGGGTTAAGAACTTCGGTGGTTCGGGGAGGGTACCCTTATGTTCTTCGTTTTTGTTCCATGTTCTTGTGCACCCTGGGGGAGGGTATCCTCGATGTTCTTCAGTTTGGCGCCATTATTCCTTCGTTCTGACAAAGCTGGGGTTCGGGGCTCACGATTCGGCTATGTACGAGCGTCCGCGGCGGGGGCGGGACCCTCCATGTTCTTCGGTCCCGAAGTCACGGTGCGGCCTTCAGCAACCGCGTGCCCCTTCATGATGGTAGTGCGATTGCAATCACCCTCGCATGTTCTTAGGGGACTGTTTGGCGTTGGTGGGCTTCGGGCTGCGGGGCTTAGGGCGTGCGGATGCAGGCTTGATTGAGGCTACGTACGCACGTAGGCCGCAGGGCTCGCGCGTCCGCGGCACGGGCAGGACCCTCCATGTTCTTCGGTTTCGATGTCAAGGTGCGGCCTCCAGCAACCGCGTGCCCCTTGATGATGGCGGCGTGAGTGCAATCACCCTCGCATGTTCTTAGGGGAGAACTTGGCGCTGGTGGGCTTCAGGTTTCGGAGAGTAGGGTGCGCGGCTGCAGGCATGAGGCTAGGGCGGGCGGGCGAAGCCACGCGCAGCTTCCTGGGCTGCGGCAGGGCTGAGAGGTTGGATGTGCGGATGACGTTCAGGACGTAGCGCTGATGTCGGTCCTATGCTAAGGCCCATGGGGTAGGCCGCAGGGCTCGCGCATCCGCGGCGCGGGCAGGACCCTCCATGCTCTTCGGTCTCGATGTCAAGGTGCGGCCATCCGCAACCGCGCCCCCCTGGATGATGGTGGCGCGAAAGGAATCGCCCTCGCATGTTCCTAGGAGAGAGTTTGGCGGTTGTTGGGCATCAGGTTGCAGGGCATACGTGCGGCTGCTAACTTGGTGCTAGGTCCGGCGGGCGAGGCCACGCGCAGCTTCCTGGGCTGCGGCAGGGCTGAGAGGTTGAATGCGCGGACGACGTCCAGAACGTAGCGCTGAATTCGGTCCTATCTTAGGGCGCATAGGGTAGCCCGTGGGGCTCGCGCGCCCGCGGCGCGGGCAGGACCCTCCATGTTCTTCGGTTTCGATGTCAAGGTGCGGCCTCCAGCAACCGCGTGCCCCTTGATCATGGCGGCGCTCGAGGAATTGCCCTCGCATGCGATGAGGGGGCTGTTTGGCGTTGGTGGGTTTCAGGCTGTGGGGCCGAGAACCTCTGAGAGCCTCTGAGAGCTTCTGAGAGCCTACGAGAGCCTACGAAAGCTTCTGAGAGCCTCCGAGAGCCCTTGAAAGCTTCTGAAAGCCTCCGAGAGCTTCCGAGAGCATCCGAGAGCTGGTGAAAGCCTCCGAGAGCCTCCGAGAGCCTTTGAGAGCCTCTGAAAGCCTCCGAGAGCCTCTGAGAGCTTTTGAGAGCATTTGAGAGCCTTTGAAAGCTTCCGAGGGTCTCCGAGAGGTTTTGAGAGCCTCCGAGAGCCTCCGAGTGCTTCCGACAGTCTCCGAGAGCCTCCGAGAGCTTTTGAAAGCCTCCGAGGGCTTCCGAAAGCTTCCGAAAGCTTCCGGAAGCCTCTGAGAGCCCCCGAGAGCCCCCGAGAGCTTCCGAGAGCCTCTGAGAGCCTCCGAGAGCTACTGGGAGCATCCGAGAGCTTCTGAAAGCCTCTCAGAGCTTCTGAGAGCCTCCGAGAGCCACCGACAGCCTCCGAGAGCCCTTGAAAGCTTCTGAGAGCTTCTGAGCGCACCCGAAAGTCTCTGAGAGCCTCCGAGAGCCCCTGAGAGCCTCCGAGAGCCCCTGAGAGCCTCCGAAAGAGCTTCTGAAAGCATCTGAAAGCCTTTGAGAGCTTCCGAGAGTCTCCGAGAGCTATTGAGAGCCTCTGAGAGCCTCTGAGAGCTTCTGGGAGCGCCTGAGATTTTCCGAGAGCCTCTGGGAGCTGCTGAGAGCTTCTAAGAGCTTTTCAGAACTCTTGAGGCTTCTCCGAGTGCCGCTGAGAGCCTCTGAGAGCTTCTGACACGCCTCCGAGAGCTTCTGAGAGCCTCTGAGGCGTTTCCGAAAGCCTCTGAGAGCTTCTGAGAGCCTCTGAAAGCCTCTGAGAGCTTCCGAACGCCTCCGAGAGCTTCCGAGAGACTCTGAGAGCCTCTGAGAGCCACTGAGAGCCACTACGTAAGAGCTTATGAGAGCCTCCGAGTGCCTCCGAGAGCTTCCGAGAGCCTCTGAAAGCTTCCGAGAGCTTCCGGGAGCCCCTGAGAGCCTCCGAGAGCCCCTGAGAGCCTCTGAGGGCCTTTGAGAGCTTCCGGGAGTTTCTGGGAGCCTCTGAGAGCCTCCGAAAGCCTCCGAAAGCCGTTGCGGGGTACACAGGCGCTGTCGCGCGCGCAGGCATTAAGGTGTACACGGGCACTGTGGTGCATGCGACTGTTGCAGTGTGTACGGGCGTTGTGGTGCACGCAGGCGTTGTGGTGCAGCGATGACACTCGAGGAGGAAAACGATGAGGATGGGGGGGAAGAGGAGGAGGAGGAGGAGGAGGAGGAGGAGGAGGAGGAGGAGGAGGAGCAGGATGGGGGATAGGGGTGTAGCAATACAGCAGAGCTCCTACAGTTCTATGACTTGTAACCTGGTGGCCCCAGAAGGGGCCTGCGGACTTTCGTGGAGTTGGCAAGCATGCGGTGTCTGTTCTCAAACGTAATCCTCCCCCCGTCGCCTCATCGCGTCACTGCGCGCTTTGTGTTCATGTCCCCCCTCCTCGTCACGAAGAAACGGAGGAGGAAAAGGAGGAGCAGGAGGATGTGCGCGCCGACGCGGCGGCGACCCCAGCGCAGGCGTTCAAGGTTGAACGCGCTTGGGGGGGCAGTTCAGGCCCCAGGACCCACAGGAACGAACCCACGGCGTGAAACCACTATTCCATATTCGGGCGAGAGCCCCCAGGTACTTCAACGAGCGGACACCGGTCAAAGTTGAACGATCCACGCGGTGTCATAAATTAACGTCCAAGCCGCCACCACACGAAACTTCTTCTGGCGGGCTGGGCGCCGGAATCTGCAGTCCAACTTCGTTGTTGCTAGTGGCCACACACGCGTCGGGACCATCGTCCTCATAACCACGCGCGTCCTCACCAACCCTGCCATCATTCTTGTCATCATCATCATCATCATCGAAGCGGTGGGCTCAAGCAGCCTTGAACTCAAGAGACGGGCTCAGGCCCCGCCGAAAGGCAGCCGACCCGTCTTTCCAACCTCCCGCCAACCGCTCCCCATGTTCCAGTCCTTGACGCCCCTCCTCCGACCTGTGCTGATGTTGGCGTTGGCCAACTTATGTGCCCATGCTGCCCTGCTGCTCTACCGGCCTGGACAGCGTGGAGAACGGGGCCAG